AGTAGGGCTGGGCGATATACAGTGGTACCTCGTGTTACAGACGCTTCGGGTTACAAACTCTGCAAACCAGGAAGTGGTTGCTCCAGGTCAAGAATTTTGCCCCAGGATAAGAACGGAAATTGTGCGCCAGCGGCAGCAGGAGGCCCCATTAGTGAAATCACGCCTCAGGTTAAGAACTGTTTCTGGTTAAGAATGGACCTCTGGAATGCATTAAGTTCTTAACCCCGAGGTATCACTGTATCAACATATCATCCAAAGCCAGTAAGAAGTCTATATTGTGATATCGATTTCATAGCTTTTGACCTGGCAATATATCACGAATCATGATGCATGTTAGCGCTAGCCAATACGTTGTCCAAAACGGGTTTCCAAGTCCGTATCATGATACCAGTTTCATCATTTTTGACCTGGCAATATATTGTGAATCATGGGGTGTGGGGGTGTGCTATGCAAAAAAATGGCAACGCAAGAAAAACCGTGAAGCTGGCCAATGCCTCTAAATAGTTCCATCCTTATTTCAGACATTGTGATATATCAGTATATTGCCATGTTCAGATGGGATATTGCCATGTTCAGATGGGGATATATTGCGATGTTGAAAACCACATGTCAGAAGCAGAAGTCCCAGCCAAGGAAGAATGGATACACAACCTTATGGAATATGCAGAAATGGCGAAACTTACCGGAAGAATAGGAAATCAACATTTTTTAAATAAAAGAATGGAAATGGTTTATTGAATATTTACAGATAAATTATAAACAGACTGGCAGGGTTATTGTAATAACCTGCAGTTTTATAGGAGTATATATTTAAAGAAGATGAATAAATGAGCAAAGTTAGTTGATTTGGATATGCAGAAGATGTTAAAAATAAATTTAAGGAGCCACAGTGTGCTGGTCCCGAGGGTTAACCGTGCGGCGAGGTCCGAGTCCAGTCCGAGGTCGAGGGTGCGGTATGGAGGCTGTCCGTCAAAGCTGAAGCGGGGTCCAAGGCAGGGAGTCGGGTGAGGTCAGGAACTCTGGCAGAAGAGCAGGAAAGGGTGCAGGCAGGAACAGGCTACCAACAATGTTGCTCCCACAACCTGGGACTGGGCTGGCTGGCTTTTATCTGCCCTGAGGCATAGGGTGGCCCCAGTCCACAGGTGACTCGCCTCTCCTGGCCTGGAGGCGAGCACTCCTCCTGCGAGAACTTACCGTATTTTCCCCTCTATAACACGCAGATTTTTTCTCCTAAAAAGGAAGAGGAAATGTCTGTGCGTGTTATAGAGCGAATGTGTGGTCCCTGGAGCCAAAAAATCAAGCAAAAGTCAAATCGCGAGTCACGGAGAAGGGAAACCTGAAAAGAGTTTCAGGTTTCCCTTCTCTGTGACTGCTTTCCTGCATTCTGCCTCAGGGTCTTACTGCCCACCCTTCTCTTTTTCGTTGCTGTGATTGCTGAAACGGAACAAAGAGCAGGGAAAGCCCCTCCCCTCCAGGCAAGCAGAGTGTCGTTCTTTCTAATTCCTCTCTGTGCTCCGGTGCTGCTGGGGGAGAGGGAGAGAGAGTGGGGGAGGGAGAGGGAGGGGGAGGGAGAGAGGGGGGGAGGGAGGGAGGGAGAGAGAGAGAGAGAGAGATGGCTGGCTTGGGGGAAACTTTTGCCTTTCTTTCCTCCCACCCGTTAAATCCCTCTCCAGCATTCTTAGCCAGCTGCTTCTCTGCACACCCCTCTCATGTCCCTTCTTTGTTTTTCCTTCGCTCCCCACTTAAAATGTGGTTACAAAGCATAGATCAACATGGATCCTCAGGATCTTTGCATTGGGTCACCCCAAATTCACCATCAGATCACATAGCATGTCCATGGCTACAGCCTGCACCAAAAAAATCACGCACCCACTGTTGCCTGGGGCTGCAATGGTGCAAACACGTGGTTAAAAAGCATGGATCCTCAGGATCTTTGCATTGGGTCACCCCAAATTCACCATCAGATCACATAGCATGTCCATGGCTACAGCCTGCACCAAAAAAAGCACGCACCCACTGTTGCCTGGGGCTGCAATGGTGCAAAAGCGTGGTTACAAAGCATGGATCCACAGGAATTCTCAGGATTTTTGCATTGGGTCACCCCAAATTCACCATCAGATCACATGTCTGTGGCCACAGCATGAAGCACAAAAATGATACACCCACTGTTTCATTCAGAATGTTTTTTCCCTTGTTTTCCTCCTCTAAAAACGATGTGCGTGTTATGGTCAGGTGCGTGTTATAGAGCGAAAAATACGGTAGTTCCCTCCGCCTCTCTGCCCTGAGCCTCTGCAGCTCAGGAGAGGCTGGAGGGTTACCGGACCCAGAGGCAACCTCAGCTTCCCCTGACGGGGCTGAGAGTGGAGCACCTGCAGGCAATGGGTCCTCCATCACCTCAGGAGCCAGAGCAGACTCAGCTGGTGCCTGCACCTGAGGATCCAGCACAGGTGAGGACCCTTCAGGCTCATGCCCCAGCCCTGGCTCAGCTGGCTCCGGAGGCAGGGAATCCTGTGCAGGCTGGGATCCCTCAGGTTCAGCCTCCGAGTCCGAATCCCAGGCCATCACACACAGAAAGAGGGGGGGGAAGGAAGTCAAGTTCTGAAATGTCAAAATGATTGTAAAATCAGTGAAATGTATAAAATTTGTGGAAAGTATAAATTTGAAAAGTATGAATGAATGAATGAATACCAGACATCATCCAGCCCTAACTCTGAACAGGGCTAGCATTCAATCCAACCCATAATTTCTCTCCCCCCCCCCCCGCTGTAGGGCTATCATTCCTTGCGCCAGCTTGTGAAGCTTTCGAAGCTGGAGGTGCCGCAGGAGATCAAGGACGTCATAGAGCCCATCAAGGACAACGACGCGGCAATCCGGAACTACGGCATTGAGCTGGCCGTCACCATGTGCCGGGAGCTGCTGGACAGCGGCCTGGTCCACGGCCTGCATTTCTACACCCTGAACCGGGAAGTGGCCACCGTGGAGGTCCTCAAGCACCTGGGTCTCTGGAAGGAGGACCCTAGGTGAGCAGCTCCATTTTTTCCTCCTATTCCTAAAAGAGCCAATCTTCGTAAAGCAGGTAAAAAAAGCTAACTACCATATTTTTTGCTCCATAAGACGCACCTGACCATAAGACGCACCTAGTTTTTAGAGGGGGAATGCAAGAAAAACAATATTCTTTAAAGGGAGCGCTGAGCAGAGCCTGTATGCATCCCAGGCTCTGCTCAGCGCTCCCTTTCACGAGCCGCGTGGAGCGTGTGTGCGGCGCTTGCAGGCTTTTCCACGAGGAGGGAGAAGGGCAGCCCGTCACTGGTGAGTTGCCCTTCTCCCTCCTCAGGGAAAAGCCCCCAAGAGCCGCACACATGCTCCGCGCAGCTCTTTAAAGGGAGCGCAGCTCTTGCAGACTTTTCTGGGAGGTGGGGGAAGGGACAGAGCGTGACTAAGCCAGAAGCTAGAACAGCGAGAGGGAGCACTGCGCAGCGATCCCTCTTGCTGTTCTGGCTTCTGGGATAGCTGCGCAGCCTGCATTCGCTCCATAAGACGAACACACATTTCCCCATACTTTTTAGGAAGGAAAAAGTGTGTCTTATAGAGCAAAAAATACGGCAGCTTGCAACATCTTTTTTAAAAAAAGGAAAACCAACTTATTTATTTGTGTTGCTGTAAACAATGCAAGTGCAGGAATGGAAACAAACAAGATTCCGGTCAATAATTGCACAGTTTTGCAAAGATGCATCAAGGTTTAACAAACAATTGCTGTCACAATCCGAAATCGAGTATGTGCAAACGGGAAATAAAAAAGTGAAGGAGAGGGAGGGAGAAAAGGGGGGGGCGAGGAAAGAAGCCAGCAAAGTAATAAGGAAAGGTATTGGGTGGAATTAGAGAATTGTACAGTTCGAAGGGACCCTGAGCATCATCTAGTCCAGGGGTCAGCAAACTTTTTCAGCCGTGGAGACCATGTGGGGGGCCGGACTATATTTTTTGGGGGGGGGGGGATGAACGAATTCCTATGCCCCACAAAGAACCCAGAGGTGCATTTTAAATAAAAGGACACATTCTACTCATGTAAAAACACACTGATTCCCGGACCGTCCATGGGCCAGATTTAGAAGGCGAATGGGACGGATCAGGCCCCCGGGCCTTAGTTCGCCTACCCATGGTCTAGCCCAAACTTACAACTTACAACCTTGGCATTATCAGCACCACAATCTACCCAACTGAGCTATTTAGTGGGTGGACCCTTTTTATTTATATATTTATGATCTTTAAGGACAATATTCATATGCTCTCAACAGAATTTCAAAAGGATTACAGTGGTACCTCGGGATGCGAACCGAATCCATTCCGGAGCCCTGTTCGCATCCTGAACAGAACGTAAGATTTCGCCGCTTCCGCGCATGCGTGTGACGTCATTTTGACCGTCTGCGCATGCGCGAGTGGCGAAACCCGGAAGTAACGCGCTCTGTTACTTCTGGGTTGCCATGGAGCGCAACCCGAAAATACTTATCCTGAAGCGTATTTATCCCAAGGTATGACTGGTGACAGCAGTCATGAAATTAAAAGACGCCTGCTTCTTGGGAGAAAAGCAATGACAAACATAGACAGCATCTTAAAAAGCAGAGACATCACCTTGCCAACAGAGGTCCGTATAGTGAAAGCTATGGTTTTCCCAGTAGTGATGTATGGAAGTGAGAGCTGGACCATCAAGAAGGCCGATTCCCAAATAATGGATGCTTTTGAATTCTGGTGCTGGAGGAGACTCTTGAGAGTCCCATGGACTGCAAGAAGATCAAACCTCTCCATTCTTAAGGAAATCAGCCCTGAGTGCTCACTGGAAGGACAGATCCTGAAGCTGAGGCTCCAATACTTTGGCCACCTCAGGACAAGAGAAGACTCCCTGGAGAAGACACTGATGCTGGGAAAGATGGAGGGCACAAGGAGAAGGGGCGACAGAGGATGGTTGGATAGTGTTTTCGAGGTTACCAGCATGAGTTTGACCAAACTGCGGGAGGTAGTGGAGGACAGAGGTGCCTGGCGTGCTCTGGTCCATGGGGTCACGAAGAGTCGGACACAACTAAGCGATTCTCTACCACCAGGTGCTTGGTGGCCCAAGCAAGGGTAGGCCAGAAATTCCTGGTTGGACAGGCAACAGCACCTTGGAGAGCAGACTAAGGTTTGGGTTAAGGACCACGGACAGCTCTCCTGCAAGTGGGGCCAGGCATACAAGTTGTCTCAGCGAGAGATTGCTTTGACCAGCAGACTCCACTGGCCTCCTCCAGTCAGCCAGTGCTAGGAAGGTGTAATTCTCTGGAGCGTTCAGTCTCTCCCAACACAAAGACAGAACAGGCAATCTCTTCAGATGGGAGGATAATTCTTCTGCCTCTGTGCTTGCCACTGTTCTCCCCAGAGCTTAGCTTCTCCCAGTTATGAGGCATGCTCAAAACAGTCATACATCACCAGAGATGGAGAACTTTAAAGCGTTAAGATCAGAAGGCGGAAAACATGAAAACAACGAGAAGAGGCAGGAACGAAGATTTGGAGATATGCTTCAGAGGTCCAGACTATGGGGAGCCCGGAAAAATGAATAATTACAATTTAGACTACAATTTGGCCGTTTTTTATTTTAGTTTATTGTTTTTAATCAGATTATGATGCGGATATGTTGATTGGCTGTTTTTATTGGAAAATTAAGAAAAATGATTTTAAAAAAACAAGTCATACATCAGGGTGCAATTAATTCTTCCTTACTTACATGCTGTAAAAGTAAATCTCATTTATTCTCTTGTGTATATATTCCAATTTTTGCACACAGTTCCCCTCCATTTAATCCCCACAACAATCTTGCGAGGTAGACTAGGCTGAGAGACAGTGACCAGCCCAAGGTCCCCGTATGTCTCAGTCTCAGTCTCAGTCAGTTTTATTGCACATAGCCAAAGGCTGCCGCAATGTACACAGAATTATTTGACAATTAAAAGTAAATATACTGAATTGGTAAAAAAAGGCTTAAAACATTTATATTATTAAAACATTACATACTCTAAACAAAGCTATAAAAGTACCCCAATGTACAAATAAAAACATTAAACAATAAAATTCATAAGCTAAAATCATCACATGGTCACTAATGTTAAAAACAATATCAATTAATACAGTGTGCAATTTATACTCAGAGTTTGGTGACAAAGATAGAGCATAGCCTGAGGTAGATAGATAGAATCAAATAAATTCATCTCCTTTACAGTTAATGGCTACCTTGGCTATATAATTTGCTCTAATTTTCCTGGAAGCAGTTGCAAAAAGTGCTACCCGCCAGGTCACATACTTATCTGTGTCTGCAAGGAGATATAACATCATATTGAGGGGGTTCTGGCCAGGGGACCCTGTCATTATAGGTACCAAAAATCTTTTTCTTGCATCATTATATAACGGACAGTGCAAGATATAATGCATAAGGTCCTCTACTTCAGAACATCCCCTAATGCAAACACGTTCATTTTTTGGTATGCCTCTATGTCTCCCATCTCTATAAGCAGAGCTTATTGTATTTAGTCGTAGCTCTGTAAAAGCTTTTCGAAGCTGTGCAAAAGTCAATTCATTAAAATAAGATATGTGTTCATTGACCTCTCTAAGTTTAAAATACAGTGGGGATTTGAAATTTGGCCTACTACATCCCAGTCAACCACTACAACCACACTGACTCACTTGCTGGGTATAAAAATGAGCCACCCCTTCAGTTTTTAATTGGGGGGGAACAAAACACGTGTAAGCTACCAGGAAGTGTTTAAAAAGATGCAGCACGCAAGTATAGGTGCAAATAAATGTTTTAATTTTCTCTCCTTCCTTCTCCCTCCCCTGCAAGGCGTTCCCTGCCCTGGGCGGTCAGTGCTCACCCCAAACGGCGAGTTGAAGATGTCCGACCCATTTTCTGGGCCTCCAGGCCAAAGAGTTACATCTACCGAACTCAGGAATGGGATGAGTTTCCTAATGGCCGCTGGTGAGTGTGGCGGGGGGGGGAGGTGGATGTATCCCTCTGGAAAGAACTGGTTGAACTGGGAAGCGATGGGAGGCGTATCTGAATTAAAACAGAAGATGCCAAAAAGATGCAATGGTTATAGACCCGTTGAGGTTGTTATATATAATTTTTATTAAATGTTACATTTCAAAATATTCTTTTAAACAACCTTAAATCAGTGGCATCCCTTCTTCTTTCCGTGGTTCATTTTGCATACCATACATCCCTGCATATTTTGCATGAATTAAACCATTCAGTAATCCATTGTTAACATCCATCCAAACTTATTTACACTTCTGAATTTATCTTAATGCTGTCAGCATTTTTAAATGAACACAATTTTCACCCATATATTCAGTAAACATTTCCCAGTCTTCTCTAAATGTATGTTCTTCTTGTTCTCTTATTCTAGATGTTAAATCTGCAAGTTGCGCATATTTCATCAGTTTAAGTTGCCATTCTTCTTTGGTTGGGACCTCGTTTGTTTTCCATTTTTGGGCTAACAAGACATGGGCTGCAGTAGTAGCCTACATAAATAGTCTTTTTTTGACACCTGGGAATTTCCCTCTACTGATAGGTTAATGGAATGACTTATCTCTTGGGGCCTGTTAATTTCAGCGGGGCTACCCTAAGTAAAACCTAGTTGACTGAAACCCATAGGATTGTCCAGAAAAAGACCCTATACTTTCTGGGCAGATTTCCTTGTTTCGTTCCCTTGTTCGATTCATTATTTCATGAAATGGATACACCACTTAACTATAAAAAAAATCAAATGAGCCTCGAAGCGGTTTGCGAAAAAGACAAAACGATAAAATTTATCGGTAAGAACAGCGATAATGTAATACTTTCAAGAGCTCAAGTTCACAACTAGCTAAAAACAGATGGAAATATGCATCAGTTTTCTAAACATCTGGGTGGGCTTCACGAATGTTTCTAGCACAGAGTACAGTGAAGGCAGCTGCCTGATGTCCATAGGCAGGAAGTTCCAGAGTTTGGGTATTGCCACACGAAAAGATGGACTTCTTATAAATTTAGAACAGGGATTCTGTGGTCCCTGCAACAGTTCTGCTGATGGGAGCAGTCAAATGGGTGAATGTGGGGGGAGGCCATCTTGCCTGTAAGGGGGCTTGTTCCTGCCCTGCCCTAACATGCCTTCTCTCCCGCAACCCTCAGGGGTAACTCATCCTCCCCAGCCTTTGGGGAGCTGAAGGATTATTACCTCTTCTACCTGAAGAGCAAATCTCCCAGGGACGAGCTGCTGAAGATGTGGGGCGAGGAGCTGACCAGCGAGGAAAGCGTCTTCGAGGTGTTCAGGTGTTACATCGCCGGAGAGCCCAACAAGGAGGGGCACAAGGTGAGAGATTCAGGGAGGGCCCTGGCCCATGAACCTCCACATAGGGGGTGAACAAGTGTGGGCGTCCGGTCTCTGGAGTCCTGACACAAGTCTCACATACCCTCCAATATTTCTCCAGTGAAAATGGGGGCGTCCTATTCCGTTGTTGTTATTGTTATACCAGACCCATCTGACTGGGTTGCCTCAGCCATTCTGGGTGTCTTTCAACATCAATAAAACATAATAAAACACACACACACACACGTAAATTTTATTAAATTTTCCGCTTTACAATTTAGAATATTCATTCAAACAACCTTAAAATATCAATGGCTTTCCTTCTTCCCTTTCCATGGTTCATTTTGCACAACATAAATCCCTACATATTTTACATAAACTATACCATTCAGTATTCCATTACAGAGGTTTGTTGTTGTTTAGTCGTTTAGTCGTGTCCGACTCTTCGTGACCCCATGGACCAGAGCACGCCAGGCACCTCTGTCCTCCACTACCTCCCGCAGTTTGGTCAAACTCATGCTGGTAACCTCGAAAACACTATCCAACCATCCCTCTGTCGCCCCTTCTCCTTGTGCCCTCCATCTTTCCAGCATTGGTCTTCTCCAGGGAGTCTTCTCTTCTCATGAGGTGGCCAAAGTACTGGAGCCTCAGCTTCAGGATCTGTCCTTCCAGTGAACACTCAGGGCTGATTTCCTTCAGAATGGATGCGTTTGATCTTCTTGCAGTCCATGGGACTCTCAAGAGTCTCCTCCAGCACCAGAATTCAAAAGCATCAATTCTTCAGTAATCAGCCTTCTGATGAAAATAGGGACTCTCTAAAAGGGGACATTCTGAACTTTGGTCCCCATTAGCTAAAGTGGTACCTCAGGTTAAGAACAGTTTCAGGTTAAGAACGGACCTCCAGAACAAATTAAGTACTTAACCTGAGGTATCACTGTACAAATAAATTATTGTTGTGGTTAACACATGTGTGTGTCTGCTTGAGGTATAACAGGGGGAAGGAATTTTAAAATTTAAGGGGATTTGGAAACATGGGAGAAAGCTGTGCATTTGTATGCACACCCAACCTGCCCTCTCCCCTTTCCCTTTCCCCCATAGGTGACCTGCCTGCCTTGGAACGATGAACCTCTGGCGCCCGAGACCAACCTTATGAAAGAAGAGCTGGCCAAGGTGAACAGGAGAGGGATCCTGACCATCAATTCCCAGCCGAACATCAACGGCAAGCCCTCCACCGACCCGATTGTGGGCTGGGGTCCCGACGGAGGCTACGTCTTCCAAAAGGTAACATGGCTGGGGACATTATGCTCTTCTCTCCTTCCCTTCCATCTCTCAGTCCAAGCAGTTCTGTCCTCTTGCATAAGATCAATTTTTGTGTGAAAGGAAGAACCACACTGCCTTTCATGGCAAAGCTTTAGGCACTTCCAGGGGTCAGGCTGGATGACCTCTGGGGTCCCTTCCACTCCACAGTTCTGCGATTCCAAGTCATGTGCTATGGCAAATTAGGAAGGTAGATTTGTTTGACATGTTTATAGGCTGCTGTTCAGGGTCCGGTTTCAGGAAATGCTATACATCGCTCAGTAGGGATAGGAACACAGGAAGTTAGTTGTCTTTTAACATGAAGTCATATAGAGTGGTACCTTGGTTCTCAAACACCTTGGTTCTCAAATGCCGAAAACTTGGAAGTGTTCAGGCGGCTAGTCCTAGTCTTTATAACCCTGTACCTTCTTCCAGAAGGCAGAAGCTGAAAGAGATCATTTCCGGGTAGCGCACTATCCTGCGCTATCTCTGCCGCTTTCTTATGGCACCTGGAAGAATAGAATTGATCCAAGGTGGGAAGAGTGCACCCAATTATTCTCTCCGCAGTCTTTACAACCCTGGACAGCATTGTTTTTCGCCTGACCGTGCAGCTCCCAAACCACACACACAGACCATAATACACTCTCCACAGTGCAATGGTAAAATGCCATCAACAGGTCCTTTCAACCCTTCTCTTTAGACACAGGAACATAGGAAACTGTGTTCTGCTTAGTCAAGCCATTGCTCTGTCCAGCTCGGTCTGATCCATACGGACTGGTAGCAGCTCTCTGACGTTTCAGACCAGACTCTCTCCCAGGCAGACCTGGAAATGCGGAGGGTTCAACCTGGTCCCCGAGGCCTTCTGCATGCCAGGCAGGTGTTCTGCCACTGGGCTGTGGCTCGTCCCCTCGTCCTTTAGCTTGAAAAGTTGATCTGTAGCTGTAACTTGGCCCAAGCAATTCTCAAGTGGCAGGGCGTAGCCAAGGCCGGCTAAATCAAAGAAGGCTGGCCGCTCGGTGCCGGCAGGTGTCAGAAGCAGCAGAGGGAAAGAAAGATTCCCCGCCTCAGAAATATTGAAGTGTGGGGACAGGGCGGGGTGTGTGTGTGACAAGCCCCTTACAATGAGCGAGTAAATAGTGGGGGGAGCTGTGATCCTCAGCGCCAGCTGGCTACAAAGCAAGCGGTGGGGTGATTAAGCAATGCTAGCAGGGGGCTAGCAGATCTGCCACTTGCGAGACAAAAGGATGCAGGGCTGCGGATTCAAAAGCTCTCATTATGAGCCCATGGGGCACTGTGTCACCGGCCCCCATTAAACGGGGACCCCCGCTGCGAAATTGCTCCCCTCCCAGTGAGCCCCCAGAGCGCTTGTATTATTTGTCTTGCTTTCGAAAGCAGCCTCTTGATCTTCGCCACACACCCCTTTCCCCCTTTTTTTAAACTCTGACCACAATGAGAAACCCAGTCTATCTAGTTCAGTGTTTCCCAACCTTGGGCCTCCAGCTGTTTTTGGACTACAACTCCCATCATCCCTAGCTAGCAAGACCAGTGGTCAGGGATGATGGGAATTGTAGTTCAAAACAGCTGGAGGCCCAAGGTTGGGAAACACTGAATTCTAGTTTACCTTTCCGTTGAAACAAAAAAAGCATTCCTAATAATATCCAGGTTTTGGATCAACCCTTTTCAATTATTATTTTTTTTGGTACCGTCTCCCTTCTCTCTTAATCCAAATAAGATTAAGGTCAAGTGAGACTTTTGCTCAGTGCCCCAAAGCTAATCCCAATGTGAACTGGGGGGTGGGGTGGGGAGGAGGGTCTTTTTCTTCAGGGAGGCAACTGGCGTTGCTGTTTCTAAGCTGCTCTGCTCCACATGGTGGCAGAAACACTGAAGTAGAGCAAAATTGATTTAACACAATCACAGACCAATAAAGGGACAGTCAAGCAGTACTATTGTAATAGTAAAATTTAAGGTCTTATATATATAAGAAATGTTCATAAATGTACCAACCAAGCACATACATAGATCAGCACAGGAAGACCGACCTGAAACCATTTTGACTCCCAAACTGACCAAATGTTTTCTCTGCAAGGAGGGAGGGGTTGAGGGAGCCTTCCCATTGTCTCAGGAATTGAGAAATCACCATCTCAAAGGAATGGCCAGACTACCAGGAAAGGCAATCAAATAAGGCATTATCAGATAAGCTGGCAAACAGGAAAAACAACAGCATTCAAATTTCTGTTGTAGACCGCCTTTTCTGTGATGTAGGTATGATGTATGGACGGGTAGTCTTGAGTGACAGGGCAGGGAATTTAAAATGTCTATATAAGGCCTTGCGCACCATTGTTCTGGGTTCCCTATTAGGGACTTTGTCTTCTTTCCATCTCTGGGCCAGTAACAACCGGGTGGCTGTCGTCGCATACATAAAAAGTATTTTCTGCTCCCTTGGAATATCGGCACCTACAATTCCTAATAGAAAAACCTCTGCTCCCCCCCCCCAGTTAATTTAAACATTTAAATTGTGCCATTGCTGGGATTCTTTGGTGTCAACATCTCCTCTCTCGACTCCTTCCAGGCTTACCTGGAGTTCTTCACCTCCAGCGAGAATGTCAGAGCCCTCCAAACAGTGTTGAAGAACTACGGCCAGCGAGTGAATTACCACATTGTCAATGTCAAGGTGCGTCCTTCCTCAGTGCCAGATTACCAAACAGACAGACTGGGCACTGGCCTACGAGCCTAGGGGCCCCTCAACAACGGATCAAAATAATATTGATTTGATCTTGAAAGAAAATTGGGAGATAATTTGTGAGGGGGCCTGCGAGATTCTGACTGCCTAGGAGCCTCCACTGGGTTTAATCCGACCCTGGTCCTTCCTCTGGTAGGCTGGCAGTGAAAACGTTTCCGTGGAAACTTGGGATGCTTGGACTGAGAGCGTATGTGGGGAGCAAACCCTCTGCTTGTGATCTCTGGAGAATATTTTGAGAACTGTTCAGCCTCTGCTAGGACAATTGGCATTGGGTTCATGGCTCCTCCTTGTGGCCCAGTTTCAGTGCCTCCTGTTTAGCCAGAGAATCTGATCAGCTGAGCATATCGTTCCCTGGAGGAGTTTTCTGGATGCAGGGAGGAATAATAATAATAATAATAATAATAATTTATTATTTATACGCCACCCATCTGGCTGGGTTTCCCCAGCCACTCCGGGCGGCTTCCAACAGAACACTAAAATACAATAACCTATTAAACATTAAAAGCTTCCCAAAACAGGGCTGCCTTCAGATGTCTTCTAAAAGTTTGGTAGTTTTTTTCCTCTTTGACATCTGGCGGGAGGGCGTTCCACAGGGCAGGCGCCACTACCGAGAAGGCCCTCTGCCTGGTTCCCTGTAACTTGGCTTCTCATTGCAAGGGAACCGCCAGAAGGCCCTTGGCGCTGGACCTCAGTGTCCAGGCAGAACAATGGAGGTGGAGATGCTCCTTCAGGTATACTGGACCGAGGCCTGTTCAGTTGGGCCTGAGATCTGTAAAAAAGAAAAAGAAAAAAGGTAAAGGACCCGTGGATGGTTAAGTCCAGTCAAAGGCGACTATGGGGTTGCGGAGCTCATCTCGCTTTCAGGCCGAGGGAGCCGGTATTTGTCCGCAGACAGCTTTCCGGGTCATGTGGCCTGCAGGAATAAACTGCTACTGGCGCAACGGGACACCGTGACGGAAACCAGAGCGCACAGAAACGCCGTTTACCTTCCCGCCGCAGCAGTACCTATTTATCTACTTGCACTGGGGTGCTTTCGAACTGCTAGGTTGGCAGGAGCTGGGCCCGAGCAACGGGAGCTCACCCCGTGGCGGGGATTCGAACCGCTGACCTTCTGATCGGCAAGCCCAAGAGGCTCAATGGTTTAGACCACAGCGCCACCCGTGTCTTGAGATCTGTACAGGCCTGGCAGCAAGTTAACAGGTGTATACAAAACCGTGATGCAGCTGTTTCCCTCTCTTCCTTCTAAACAACCTCCTGTTTCCCGTCGGTAGGGTGAGAACATCACCAACGCGCATGAAATGCAACCCAATGCCGTAACGTGGGGCATCTTCCCCGGCAGAGAGATCATTCAGCCGACGGTTGTAGACCCGGTTAGCTTCATGTACTGGAAGGTAAGAGGGTTATTGTTCCCTGCCCTGCCCCAAACACCCAGGAAACTCTTAGCCTGTTGGTACAGATCTGGGGCTTTGGTACATTTCCGTGGAAAATGTATGTGAACAGAAGTACAAGGTGCCAATTACTATTCCCTAGAACTTGTGGTACCGGGGTACCTCTGCTCCTCTAATAACAAGTTGGGGGTAGAACCTCCACTTTTGCCTGCACAGGTTCAGTGAACTCATAGGTCTGTATCAAGTCATAAGAACATAAGAACCCGCTGGATCAGAGCAGTGGCCCATCGATGATGATGGTGGTGGTGGATAGGCAAACTAAGGCCCGGGGGCCGGATCCGGCCCAATTGCCTTCTAAATCCGGCCCATGGATGGTCCAGGAATCAGTGTGTTTTTACATGAGTAGAATGTGTCCTTTTCTTTAAAATGCATCTAGGTTATTTGTGGGGCATAGGAATTCATTCATTCCCCCCCCAAAAAAAATATAGTTCAGCCCCCCAAAAAGTTTCAGGGACAGTAGACTGGCCCCCTGCTGAAAAAGTTTGCTGACCCCTGATAATGATGACTGACTGACTGATTGATTGATTGATTGAGTTTATATACCGCCCTATACCCGGAGGTCTCAGGGTGGTTCACAGACAAATATAATCAGAATAAAAACAACCCCAATAATACCCTACTCAGAAAAGAGCCACATTTTAAAAGGGTATAGGATAAGGTTACCAGACGTCCCCGTTTTCCTGTGGACAGTCCCCAGATTTACAAATCAGTCCCCTGACAAAATCGTATCATTCCTATTGAAATTGAAAAGTGTCCCCAGATTCACTGAAAAAAATCTGGTAACCTTAGTATAGGATATTAAACAGATCAGCCAAAGGCCTGGTTAAAAAGGAACATTTTTGCCTGGCACTGGAAGGTGTGTAATGAAGGCGCCAGGCGAACTTCCCTGGGGAGAGCATTCCACAGACGGGGAGCCACTGCAGAGAAGGCCCCGTTCTCGTGTTGCCACCCTCTGGACCTCTCAAGGAGGAGGCGCACAAAGGAGAGCCTCAGAAGATGATCTCAGGGTCAGGGTAGGTTCATATGGTCACATCTAGTCACATTGGCTAAGCAGGGGCCTTTTCTGAATGCTAAGGGCCATAGCTCAGGGGTAGAGCATATGCTTTGGATGCAGGAGGGGCTCAGGTTCATTTCTCAGCACCTCCAGGTAGAGCTGGCAAATGTCCCTGTTTATGCAACACTGGAGAGCTGCTGCCAGTTAGTAGAGGCAGTGCTGAGCGTGACAGACCAAATAGTCTGGCTCTGTCTAAGGCAGTTTCTTCTGCCTGTAGCTCAGCGCAAGGGTATCTGCTTTGCACGCAGAATGCCCCGAGTTCAGTCTCTGGCATCTCCGGGTAGAACTGGGGGAGAACCCAGCCTGAAACCCTGGAGAGCCACTGCTGGCCATAGCAGGCAACACTGAGCGAGTTGCGCCGATAAGTCTGAGTCTGCATAATGCAGCCTCTTCCAGACGCTCATTCCCTGAGATCATCCTCCGAGACCCTCCTTCGTGTGCCTCCTCCTTGAGAGGTCTGGAGGGTCGCAACACGAGAACGGGGCCTTTACTGCAGTGGCTCCCCATCCATGGAATGCTCTCCCCAGGCAAGTTCGCCTGGTGCCTTCATTTTTTTTTTAAAAAAAATTATTCATTTTTCATTTTCGTTCATTACATACATCTCAAATTCTCAAAGACTTCCCCCAACTTTTTTGGTTTATTTCTATTTTTACCCACTTTGCTATAATTATCCACCTTTAGGTGCCAAGCAGAAACGTTCCTTTTTAGTGCAGGCCCTTGGTTGATCCGATTTGCATCCTAGGCCCTTTTAAAATGTTTTTGTTTTTTTATTATGTATTTTGTGATTTTATATCTTGATTTTATTCTGTGGACCACCCTGAGACCCCCGGGTATAGGGCGGTATATAAATTCAATAAATAATAATAATAATAATTCGTTTCCCATAGTTCCTCCTGCACTCCCACCCCCACCTCAAATTGTTTTTAAGTGTGACCTGCTTCTCTCTCTCTGCCCCCCTCGGACAGGATGAGGCCTTTGCCCTGTGGATTGAGCAGTGGGCCAAGCTGTACGAAGAGGAGTCCCCCTCTCGCATGATCCTCCAGTACATGCACGACAACTATTACCTGGTCAACTTGGTGGACAACGACTTCCCCCTGGACAGCTGCCTCTGGCAGGTCTTGGAAGACATGCACACGCTCTTGAACTGTCCGGCGGAACCTTGAAAGTTGAGAAAAGGCACGCAGCCTCCCAGATTTGGCTGGCAGCATAGTCAAAAACCTTAGGGATGCGAGGTTGGAACCACAGTGGCCCAGACACTCCTCTAGGGGGCGCCGTTGGCTGAATTTCCCCCCATTGCCTTCAAAGCGGGAGGCCGGTTAAGACAGGCACATCTCCCTTCTGATCCAAAAGACTCTGAGGATGTTTTCGAGCCCTTCTTGGGTTATTACAATCCCTTTTCCCCTTATACTAATGGCAGCTAGAAATCCTTATCCCCACCCCAACCCCAAATCTCTGTCTGGCCCACCCCCCATGTTTCTGGGTTGCACTCTAAAAAAGAAAGCTTTCAGCTGCTGCTTCAGTGCGCACCCTCTGATCAATGGGACTGATGGCTTCACAAGCCTCTAGTTCAGAACGGGAGTTGCAGAAAATCAGGATGAGCACAGCCGCCTGCGACGCACCTGCCCTCCTCTGGGGAGCCACAGTGTGTGGCCGGCTATTTATTTTGTTTTTATTTTATTATAAAGGCGCAGGATCGTGGTCTTCTTCCTGCGTCTTCTCGTTTTCTCTTGCAGGGGAGGGGGAAGTATTTAAAATGCTTGTAAAGGGAAGGAGAGAAGTGAAATCGAAATGAAATAAAATGTAGTTGATGCCTACGTTGACTTGCCTTTTAAAAAAGAACGAGAGGAAGAGCTTGGGACTTACTAGGGACTCACGTTGTAGCAGTGTGGCTGGGGGCACAGCATGGTGAATGCAGGGAGTTATGGTAACGTGGTCCCCCCAAAAAATCACCCATGGCTGGTGTCCATTGGGACTTGTGGGGCAGAAACACATGGGCGCCGGGCGCCATTTTGCAACAAGATGGTGGACAGAAGAATCACTTTTGCATGGCTTAGGCCTGTTCGGGGGCACAGGTTCAGCGGCATCTTGAGATAATACAAGAGTTCCTGAGGATTGACGTCAATGTTTGGGTGCCTTTTTGAACCAACATGCCAGATGGAAGCGTGACTTCAGCACGACTTTGCCTGATTTTTGGGGTGGCTGGTCCAAACTCACAAATGATGCTATCCATTTATAAACACATCTCTTTTTGTTTGTTTTTTAAAAATTCCAAGCACTTCGTGCTAGTCTGTAATAATCCGTTTTGAGGCTTAGGGTATATAAACTTCATGAAATATAAATAAAATAAGAAGGGCTATAAACTTTTTTTTAAAAAAATGTTTTATTTTGTTTTTAAACATTCTTATACATTCACATCATTTTCAATTTCTACACTTCAGTGATCGCTTAGATCCCTTGGACTCTGCCCCCCCCATCTAATTACATTTTTCTAATCCATTTTTTACCTTTTTTTTGTAAAAAAAGGTAAAGAATGCCTGACAGTTAAGTCCAGTTGCAGACGACTCTGGGGTTGCGATGCTCATCTCGCTTTACTGGCCGAGGGAGCCGATCTTTGTCCGCAGTTTTTCCGGGTCATGTGGCCAGCATGACTAAGCAGCTTCTGGCGAAACCAGAGCAGCACACGGAAATGCCGTTTACCCTTCCCGCTGGAGCGGTACCTATTTATCTACTTGCACTTTTGGGTGTGCTTTCGAACTGCTAGGTTGGCAGGAGCTGAGACCGAACAACGGGAGCTCACCCCGTGGTGGGGATTCGAACCACCGACCTGATCGGCAAGCCCAAAAGGCTCAGTGGTTTAGACCACAGCACCACCCGCCTTAGCTTGGCTATAAACTTTTTCTTTCAACCTGAATGGAAGCCGAAAGTCTCAGCGCCCTCAAAATACGTGATGTCTGTTACATTGCATTATTGAGTATTAACCCAAATTTTGCACAATCCTTTGTCTTCCAGGTGCAGTCTCCCTCTGGCCCCTCTTTTAAGGTCCTTTTGGGATTTGCCAACCCAACAGTTCAAAAGCACGCCAGCGCAAGTAGATAAATAGGTACCGCTCCGGCGGGAAGGTAAACGGCGGTTCCGTGCACTCTGGTTTCCATCACAGTGTCCTGTTGCACCAGAAGCAGTTTATCTTGTGCTGTATTCACCACCCTCTGTAGGCACCTCCTATCAGTTGATGTCAAACCAACGTACCACACCATGTTGCAGTATGAAAGGACAATCAAATGTTGATTGACATCGTTCTTTCGCAATGCACTGAGGAGATGGAGTCTCCGTTGGGCCTTCTTAACCAGCTGGGTTATATTGATTTTCCAAGTAAGGTCTTCACTGAGATAAACTCCCAGGAATTTAAAGGAAGAGACTCTCTCCATACAGCCCTCCCCAATGTACAGCGGGCTAGTTCTCTCTTCCTCCGAAAGTCCAACACTATCTCCTTTGTCTTGCTGAAGCGCACAAATAAGACCAGGGCACAAGACCACTTCCTTCCTCTAGTTCCCAGTGACCGGCATTGAGAAGCATGACTGACTGCCTTTGACCGTGGAAGCAAAGCATTGCCAGAATGGTGGTTAAGTCATCAATAGCTTTCTCCTCCATGTACCTGTCTGGTCCTCTCTTAAAGCCATCCAAGTTGGTGGCCGTCACTGCCTCCTGTGGCAGTGAGTTCCATAGTTTAACGGTTCCACAGCTGTGTGAAAAAGCATTTCTTTATCTCTGCCCTGACTCTTCCCACATTCAGCTTCGCTAGATGACCATGATGTTGTGAGAGGAGGAGAAAAACTTCTCTTTCCACCTCCTCCGAACTGTGCATCGTTTATAAGCTTCTATCAATGTGGCCTCTCTTCCTCACTTTTCCTCGGAACAAAAAAGTCCCAAAAGCTACCCCAAAAGAATCCCCAAAACAGAAGTTTACCCCACATGCAACTATAATTTCTAGCACCCTTAAACTACTATTCCCAGAATTTTTTGGGTGAAGTCCATGCTTTAAATGTAGGCTGCCATCACAGCCATGGGTTATGCAGGAGGGAGGATTAGGAGAGAACTTTGTGGAAGCAATCCGGGAATTGTATAGAGAAGGGAAGGCTGTGGTCAGAGTGAATGAGGGGGTTTCAGATCAATTCAATATACAAAGAGGAGTTAAACAAGGATGTTTACTCTCACCACTATTTGTATTAGGTATGGAGTATAATACTATTTGAGTGGACAGGCGGAGTCCCCAGATCCCACGCGGTCCCCCCGTCATGTGGAATAACGACTCAAGACTACGTGCTATGGGATTAAATTGGCCACAACTTTATTAAATTTCAAATGTGGGTAGACCTTGGCTCAGGCATTGGGTGTTCTCCCTCCCCAGTCCCCAGCCCAAGGCCTGATACCGCCCAAAGTTGTGACGTTTTGCTACGGGAAAGGCGAAACCTGCCAATGCAGGGAAATTCCTTTCCGGCCCTTTAACCGCAACCTTAACGTAGCAGCGCCCGCATACCTGTGAAGAAAAGTTAACCTGCAAAACCTGTGAAGAAAAGTTAACCTGCAAAATAAGACATTAGCTGAGGGTGGGTAGGGTGGGAGAAGCTCTGAGCCAAGTGAGGATTCCCAGGTAAGATCCTCCCTCTATTGTGTGGGCAGGTAATCCCTCCCCTACCTGGCCTGGTCTCCTTGGCAACGCTTCCCCCAGGTGGGATTGGACAACTGACTGAGATAGGCGGAGACCTCCAGGTATCCCACCTGAGGGAAGGCAAAGCCCAAGCCTATGCTGTTGAGCCGCTCCAGATCTAGGGGCTGCATGCGTCCAGGCAAGGGGCGCCCCCCGTTTTAAAGGCGGGGCGGTCATTGTATTAGGTATGGAACCATCCCAAAGCAGTTGGAAAAGGTCCAGGCGGGTTCCAACTTGCACAGACCACTTGGAACTGGCCCATACTGGTTGGAACAGGTCTAGACTGGTTTGAACCAGACCAAGTCGGCTGAAACAGATCCAAGCCGGTTGGAACCGGTCTAGGCCAGTTTGAACCGGTCTAGGCCGGTTTCTGCCAGTCCAAGCCGGTTTGAATTGGTCGAGGCAGTTTTGTACCGGTTTAGGCCGGTTTGAAGAGTTCCAAGTGGGTTGGAACTGGCCCAGACAGGTTGGAGCAGGTCCAGGCCAGTTGGAGCAGGTGCAGGTCATTTGAAACTGGCCCAAGCTGGTTACAACAGGTCCAGGCTAGTTGGAACAGGTCTATGTCGCTTGGAACCAGCCCAGACCTGTAGGAATCATTTCATACCAGTTGGATCCAGCCCAAGCCAGTTGGAACCAGCCCAAACCAGTTGGGAAAGGTCCAGGCGGGATCCAACTTTTTTTGCGAGAGGTGAGGGAATCCCCCCACCTCCCAGGAAACCAGAAGAAGCCGTGCAGCCTTTAAAGTGCGCGCGGCTTCTGCCGGTTTTGTGGGAGGTGGGGGAATTCCCCACCTCCCAGAAAAGCCAGGAAAGCCCTGCGCAGCATCTCCCGGCAAGGAGAGGCGCGCGGGGCTAAAGGGGAAGGCAAAACAGCGAGCGGGATCCATCCCGCTCGCTGCCTTGCCTTCTTCCATAGCCGCGCGCAACCCCTCCGCAAGGAGAGGCTGCGCGGGGCTAAAGGGGAAGGCAAAACAGCGAGCGGGATCCATCCCGCTCGCTGCCTTGCCTTCTTCCATAGCCGCGCGCAACCCCTCCGCAAGGAGAGGCTGCACGGGGCTAAAGGGGAAGGCAAAACAGCGAGCGGGATCCATCCCGCTCGCTGCCTTGCCTTCTTCCATAGCCGCGCGCAACCCCTCCGCAAGGAGAGGCTGCATGGGGCTATGGCTTCCCGGCAAGCGTCTCCCGGCAAGCAGAGGCTGCATGGGGCTAAAGGGGAAGCCAAAACTTGGCTTGCTCCATAGCTGCTCGCAACCCCTCCGGCAGGGAGAGGTTGTGCGCACCCTGTACGCTGCTCTTTAACATACGCACACACACACAGTGGAACCTTGGTTCTCGAACTTAATCTGTTCCAAGAGTCCGTTCGACTCCCGAAAACATTCGAAAACCAAGGCACGGCTTCCGATTGGCTGCAGTATCTTCCTGCACCTCAAGCAGAAGCCGCGTCGGACATTCGGTTTCCGAAAAATGTTCGAAAACCGGAACACTTTACCGTATTTTTTGCTCTATAAGACTCGCTTGTTCCCCTCCTA